TGGCAATACTACGTCTTTTCTTTTAATAATTTTTCCCTTGTTTATACTGTATCGGTGTACTTGCATTATTATAGTATCTGGCTGATTAATTATTTTAAAAGGACCTTTTTTAAAATGCCGTTTGATCTCACCACACTTCTGGCATTCAAGCCATCGCACCTCTTTACTGGTCTCATTAATTAAATCAATTAAATTAACTGATTTTCGTGATGCAGTCTCGCGTAAATACACCGGTAGCATTGTATGGACGCTAGAAAATGTTTTTATTCCAGAACAACATTCACTCATGAAAGTTTCACAAATATGAATCATAAATAGTTTCTGTATAAGATCTATTTGTAATGCATTATTATGATTTTGTGCGTCAGGAGAACACGTTTCTTGTAATTTATTTTCAAAAAATTCTAATAATATCGTGAGGAATTCTGCGACATCATGCTGAATATTTTCTGAAAAAGATGAATCTTGGCTACTTTTTTTTGGTAGTGCGACCAATTTTTTTTTTAAATCTCTGTAAGATAAAAATTAATGTTAAATACAGTCAACTAGTTATTTGTTTGATTTTCGAAGTATGCATGAGTACTTACGATAAGAGAATTTCTATAGAATTTTCCCGTTGGGATCCTTGAGAAATTACTTTTAGTATTTCTTTCAAGTATTTTAAAATGTCGCAAGTACTATGAGATAGACTGTTGATAAATTTATTAAAACTTTCTAGTGAATACAGAACTTGGAGCGTAGAGTTTAACCAACATGAATTAGTTCCAGATAAGTTTGGAAATCCCATATACGTACTTGATGTTGATATTTTTTGGACTTGCATCGTTAATTTAATTTTTTTACTGGTTTCTTGATCGTTATATTCTGTGTTTTTTGAGCAATATTTACATAAGCTGTCGGTTACAAAAAAGTCAATTTTACATCCTCTGTGAACTTGACGAGAACAATTGGAGCATGTAAACTCGAGATTTTTACTCTCGTTTGTACATCCTAAACACACGTTGTCTATCGGCAACGTAGCATATTGAAGAAATTCGGCAATATCTAATCGATATTCGTTTGGATCAAAATTAAAGACATCACTCTTTTGATTTTTAGCCAATTCATTCATATAGAACATAATAAAACAACCACAGTTGTAACCATCGTTTTGTTCAGGAAATGTAGGAGCTGACACTAATTTCCAATTTTTACGAGTTAAATTATTTTGTGTGTTGGGATAGTAATGTAAATAATTATTTAAATAATTAATAAATAATTGAACAGTCAATTTTATCTCAGATTCAGAAATAACATTTAGAGGATCTAAAAGCATAATATCTTCTTTCATCGGATTTAAAACAAGAAGGCTCCAATGCTCGTTATACGAATAAGGTATAAAAACCAAATTCTTAAATTCATACTCAATTTTGTAACCAGTAAAAAACTTATCTTGAGGTTTGTGTCGCTCATCACCTATTATAAAATTTGTCAAGTAAGTTGGATAAAAGCAGATATCATCTTGCCATAGCTTACGAGATTTTTTCACCACCATGAACGAATCAATAATTGCTGCGTTAAGAAAATTTTTTGCCCTTAACGAACAATATTCAAATGCGCAAAGATATTTAGTATTTCTTTGTAAAGGGTTAAAATATCTTAAATAATCGAGAACATATTTAAAAAGTACTGCACTTTCATTATATCCGTCCGATTGGTGCATAAATTTGGTGAAAAACAAATCGACGTTTTTCGAAATATTTATCAAACTAGTGTCTTGTGTGGAGTTATATATGTCTAATGCATGATTGGTGTCAATGGTATTTAATGATTTTGCAATAGAAAATTCATCTTTTTCAATATTGCAATCAAATGACACTTTAGATATTTTGTGGCTTTTTTCTACCATTGTTTTCGATTCATTATTCAAATTTTCATTGCTCATTTCGTCTATGCAAAAGTCATCGTCGGAATCTGCATTAGATTGTGTGGAGTTATATATGTCTAATGCATGATTGGTGTCAATGGTATTTAATGATTTTGCAATAGAAAACTCATCTTTTTCAATATTGCAATCAAATGACATTTTAGATATTTCGTGGCTTTTTTCTACCATTGTTTTCGATTCGTCATTAATATTTCCATTGCTCATTTCGTCTATGCAAAATAACTCGTCATCGAAATCTGCTTTAGATTGCATTACTGGATCTTTAAGAAGAGCTTCTATTAATGCAAAGGAACCTACAGTAATTAAATAAAATGAATAATGATAGTAAAAATTCAATTTTTTAAGAAGTTGATTCGAACTGTTTCACGAAAAAAAGGTACGATTTTGATTGAGAAGACTTTGATGAAGATGTCTAAAACTATCCTTCATGTTATAAAAAATTTATAATATAAATTATTATAATGAACAAATGCAATCAAGATCGAATTTACCTTCGAGTTCGAATTCGAGTAGCTAAACTCATATAAAATATGATCGATGTACCTGTATCAGTTTTCAACTTCTTGCTCGGGTGATTCAAATAGTTCGGGAATTTATGACGCTTTTTATTAAAAAGTACATCATCCAATTTGCTTTTGATAATCAAATCTGATGATACATTGTCTGTCTTAGAAGTAGTCTCAATTTTTTTCTTTGAACGGCTCTTTATTTGGAGACATTCAGTAATCATATCATCTGTCGGATTTATATTAAGTATTCCACCTTTAGATGTGACCCACTCCGAAGCCAATATTAAACTGTACAATGTGTCCAAATCAAGTTTTGTTCTCAACAGAGTTTTTGTTACATTGACTTTACTCCATACACGTTCACTAGATGCATTAGAATTTGGCATGGTTACGAGTATTTGTAGAGCAAATGCAGATAAATTAGTGAATAAAGGTTGATCGCTTTCATCAAAGCACTTGTTAATTTTAATCCAGAAACAGTCGATTTTCTCTTCATTTAATATATCTTTTGGCATACTGTAGCTCGCAATACTGTTCCACTCAGAATTAATTTTAATTTTAACATCTTCACTTATCTCATATGATAGACTATCAAAAATTTCATCCAAGGTTTCGTGCGTAGAGTGAAATTGTTCGCTCAAAACATTGCGGGGATGTAAATACGATCGAGTTGAAAAAATGTTTTCACTCAACTGTAGACGACTTTTAAGCCCTGATGCTACCGAAATGAAGAATTTTTGACAATTAAGTAAAAACTCCTTTTTTACATCACTAGATAAATCTTGATTAATCTTGTCTCTGTACACTACATCGGTAATCAAGTCTCCAACGTCCATCATATTTATATGCAGCATCTGGGATTTATCAGCTGGATCGACATCCTTCAAATCTGTGTCATGTATGTAGCTGTCTTTCATATACATTAACAAAACAGTAGTTAATAGTTCGCTCATTTTGTCTGATTTTTGCGAGAAAATTGGAGAGACAGACTGTAGTAGAACATTGGCTGATGAAAACTTTGAAATTACGTGTTGCAAAAAAATTAAATAATATCGTAACACTGGATTTTCAAAATAATTCAAAATTTCGGTCACTTCCTTACTATTATCCTGCTGTTTAAAAAAATCTTGAAGCGAATGCCAACGAAACAGTACATATTCAATTGAATTTATCAACGACAACCATCTAGTAAAGCCAGGCTTTACCATTTTAAGTGGTTTCAACTTATTGTCCTTTTGTACAAAATGCCAATATTTTGCTCTCTTACCGCTCCCGGGTATGTAAGTAATTATTAAAGTAAGGAAATGTATAATATCCTCTGGAAGTTCTTTTATCGCCCATTTTACTGCTAATTGCTCCATATGAGCTGGACATTTTGTAAAAAATAAACTATTGTTTTGATTTTTCAACAAAGATGCCACCGACAACATACAATTACACGTATCTGAACAAAACCCGTTTATGTTTGTCAAAGGTACATCTTCATCTCGAAAGGACTTTAGAACCTTATCAGTGATATGCTCTGCACTTGCTTTAGCTTCTTTGCTGTCATATATCTCTATTAAGTCCCACAGTGATTCGCTAATTTTTTCATTTTCAAAATCGACGTAGCGTACTACAATGCACATACAATGCAATAAACTTCTATCAGTCGACTCGTCGATTATTAAAGAAAACTTTTGTTTTTGTATAATCTCTTTAATTTCACGTCGACGAGTAGGAGCTATCAACTTTTTAATCACTTCACTCATTCTAAAGCGACTCAAATTAAAATTTTTTAAAATTTCCGAGTCGTGAAATAGTTTCTTCAGGAGCGGTATTAAAGATTCACAAACGAGTAGTGGAATGTTCTTATAAGCAAAAAAACTACTCAAATGAATCGTTGCATTCTCTACGCTTGTTTCGAGATCTGATTTTGGCATAGAAATGTTTTTATGTTTATACATATGTTTTTTGTGTGTGGTTGTGGTTGCATGTTTACGTAAAAGATCTATTCGGGCAGCTTTTTCCTTTTTACAAAAAATACATATAAGCTGAGTGTTATCGGTTGGTGAAATACTTAGCCAATCCGCCAATTCCGGGATTTTCTTCCAGGCTTCGAATTGTTTATCAATAACACTCTTTTCACACTTTTTTTGTTTCTTACTTTTACTATAAATCATTTTAATGTATACACTTTTAAAATTGATCACAAAGAAAAATACAGTGGCACCCAATAACTTTTTCCTATTGCTGCTGCACGTATTGTACGTATAACATTTTTTGTTGTCCGCTAGCAATAAAGAAAAAGGCGCGATCGAAGTATGACAAAGGAACGTAGGTAATCCCGGCATTTTAAAACGAGAAACGAACACAAAAGGTAGATTCATTTTCAGCGATTTAATATAAAACGACTTTTGTTTGTGTAAAATGTAGGAGTATAATTTTCCTACTCTATCAAGAATTAAATAAAAATATTTCGAAAATCAAATTGAAAACAAAAAGGTTTGGATATGTTAATTAATAATATACTTTTATTTTTATTATATATATAACTTTATTAATTATTTTACATTCATCATTCATCACTTTTTATTGTATGTTTCGTTCTTATATACGAAAAGTACATCATTTTAAATTCGTTATGTTGGTACTAGCCCGGCAGCCTCTACCAAGCAGCAACGTGAGGAGACCTTAAAGGCTCGTTTCCACCTTCTTTTCACAACTCTGAGTATGAACTAGTGATCGGATTTCCTTCCAAGTCGTGGTTGTGATACAGTAGACATCTTGAAAGTTACCGATTCCGCCTGAATTTCAAGTTAGATATAAACAAGTTGTATGTGGCTATCGTGAGTATAAAACTTAATTACAAATATATAATTAATTTTAGTCGTAATTCTTTTGCTTCATGCTATCTAGTTTTTATATTTGCTTTTGTCATTCATAGAATGCGATTGACAAAAAGTGATCACTCTATTTCTATAAGTTCTAGTTCTATACTTTTAATTATTTAATAAAGTAGGATTTATTTATAGAAGTTTTGATAAAGGGTTAGGGCACTTTAAATTACTGAAAAGTATAGAATTTTCATAACCTCAAGATTGTTACACTAACAAATGTTTATTTACATTTAACATGGTTTTTGTTTCAATAATTACATGTTCAGTTACAACTGTAAGTGTAACTGAATTGTTGAATTACAATCATGATCATTCGAAAGACCTTTTTTCATTTGGTACAATTTTTTGTATTTTCCTCTAATACATCTTTGCGAATAGATCAAATTGAACTCTAGTGATTTATAGAATCCAAGAAACTTATAAGAATAACTTTTCTTTTTCATTTGGTTAGTATTTGAACTGTACGTATAACTGAATTGCAGAAATTCGAACTTGATCATTCGAAAGACTTTGAAATACAATTTATTATTTTCCCACTACCAATTCCGCTTTACGAATAGATGAAATTCGAATGATCATTTTTCAATTTCTGCAATTCATTTATACGTATAGTTCAAATGCTAACCAAATGAAAAAGAAAAGTTATTCTTAAGTTTCTTGGATGCTATAAATCACTAGAGTTGAATTTCATCTATTCGTAAGACCTTTTTGTATTTTGTACAATTTTTTATATTTTCCTTTAATATGGTTTGACGAATAGATCAAATTGAACTCTAGTGATTTATAGAATCCAAGAAACTTATAAGAATAAGTTTTCTTGTTTATTTGATTAGCATTTGAACTATACGTATAACTGAATTGCAGAAATTCAAACATGACCATGCGAAAGACTTTGAAATACAATTTATTATTTTCCCACTACCAATTCCGCTTTACGAATAGATCAAATGAAACTTTAGTGATTTAAGTCTATTACTTACAATTGAATATTACTTAATTTTCATTTGCTTTGTATATTTTGCACTTTCAGATGTCTGATTTCTTTGTAATTGTGGAATTGTTAATTGCAAATGCAAGCAATGATATTCTCCCAAAAGTCATTGTTCCTCAGGCATACATTGAAGAAAAAGGGGATAAAACGTTTGTTAAATATTTACCTCCACCATACAAAGCTGAGGATAAAGAATTCATTGAAGGTTTTGTGAAAGAGAAGCTTCAACCACCACCTAATTTTAGGTTGATCGAATGTCATGTTTTAAATTTTGCTGGTAAGTCAGCTCCAATACTCTTTCATCAATTTTCTTATTTTTAACTTAAAGAGTAATACACAAATTTATGAGTTTATTAATTTATTACAGCTACATACCAACTAGCCAAACTTTATTTGCAACCCATGCTAAATAAACCATCAACCAATGTAAGTTTAACGTCAACTTCAACTCAAGATCTCCTTCTGAAAGTTCCAGGTTTAGGTGAAAATTTTCAAGGAAAAGGTGAGATTATACATTGACATGGAACTTTTTGTTTTCAAAATTTTTAGATTAACCTATTCTTTGTTTAACAGCTGGAAATGTAAGGAAGGAAACTTCTAAATCAAATAAAAGGACCTTCAAGCCTAATATCCCTGATTCAGCTAAGAGATTTAAACAAAGTAATGAATCAATAGAATCAGGATTAACTTGCAATTCAGGTATGGTATAATTATATCTGTAGAAATATTTGATTTAACTTTTTGTAGCCATTATTATAAAAAATTTCATATTGAATTCCTAATTAACTTCATTAACATTTATGTAGTTATTATCATTTATTTGTGTGTCAACTTTCTGTAAGTAACGTCAATAATGTTTTTTATTATTACAGAAGCCAACAATGATGCCGCACATATTGTGCAAAAAGAAAATATCTCCCAAAATGCACAGAAAGATAGTGGTAATTATTGATAATGCATGCTTCAATCAGAGAAACATTCAATGTCTAATTGATGTTTTCTATTTCCAGATCTTTTCTTGAATACTGTTGATGCTCCGTCTACTTCAAATGTAGGCCCTCGCTTTGCTTCAGCAAACACAGCTTCTAGTAGAAACAGAGCAATTATGAGCCCAGAGTTAATTGCTTTAGAAAAAAATATTAAAATTTTGTTGGAAAAATCCATTTCTTCTAAATTGGTAGATTTGCAAGTGCAGATACACGAAGTAAAAGCACTTGCTGCTGAAAGAGCTTCATCAAATCCTCTGAATAATAATATACTGACATGGTCTGAGTATATAAAAAAACACGACAATATTAGTTTTCCTATTGATTCATTACAAGATTTTGATCGATTCAATGTTCTCCTTCAACAAAATGAAAATGATATTTTCACCGATACAGTAAGTTTACATGCTATTACTTTTTATTGCTATATACATTTTACATTTCTATTATATCTTATTTTTTAGATACATCTGTTCAAGTGTACGACGTATGTCGCAGATGGCCTAAAGGCCAACGTGTACGTGCACTTAAAAAAATTTATAACTAATAATGTTATAAAAAATTATACGTGCCAAAAACAATCTAGCAAATTTCCTGAAAAAAAAATATTTATCAAAGAAAAATTTTATGAGAGCTTACGAGGTTGTCATCACTTTGTTTGCTTACAACTTTTTCAATATAATAGCAATTGTAACTGTATATTTTGTGATTGCAGATGGATTTTATGAATCGTTTGGTCCTATTAAAGAAGTAAATCTATGGACTTCTATCAGTGCAGCTTTTAATAATGCTCCAGATTGGGCTGGGGGTCGCGATGAAAGAAGACCAAACTAAAACGATCATTTTAATGATTGAATTTTGAGAAATTTAATGAATTTTTAAATTTAATGAATTTTAAGGAACTTTAGTTTCTTTATTATTTAGTATCTAAGATAATGAAAGCTTTGATATAAAAATTTACAATTAAACATATAAAGTACATTTTATATTATTAGATTTAAATTTATTAGATACATGTTATATTGTTCTATTTAAAGTTATAAAGTTTGTTACATTGTTTACATATGTAGTAATGGAATAACAAATAAACTAGGTTCATCAGATGGTAGTTCGTAAATATTGAGTAACATCATTTTCAATTCTATGTCATTCAAATTGATTGTTAATTCTTCTAACAAATTTTCTTTCACTTGTTTAATGCTATGTATATTTAGTAAAGAAGCCTTGCATGGCGTTATAAAAGCTTCGTCTTTAGACTTTTGTAATTCTTTACCAATTACTTTTATTTCATTGAAATTTTCTCCATAATCGAAATACATTTTAGTTATTTGCATAATTTTTTTATTCGACAGGAGGACTACATTATTAGGTGCACGAATGGAAATTTCCGAATTTTTATACCTCATACTTTTTATTTGAGTACGGTTATTTTTTGTAATTTTTTTTAAAATTTCAAATTGATTTGAAATATTATTTTCATTTGAATAAGACGCAAACTCAATTTCATTTTCTTCGGCTCTACATGCTTGAACTAAAGGCTTGAAACCACTTTTTATTGTTTTTTTCATTTTTCCTAATTTATTTTCAAATGGAAATGCCGTATAATTACTTATATTGCATTTCATATTCTTTACGTCATCACATAAGTGTATTAATGAATGGACGTTTGAAACTTGGGAATTCTCTCCATAATTTGAATAACAAAGTAGAACAAATCTTTCCAAATATAGCTGTGAGTAATCAATAAATTTCAAGCAAGTATTTTCATTTGATAGTAGGCGACATGCAACATATAGTAACTTGAAATGTTCTAATAATTTTTTTGATAAAATATCAGAAAGCACAAAAGGTCCTATGTACATTAAAAAAAGTCGAAACTCTGTCGCTTTGAACATGTGTATTTCTCCAAGCGACCTAGTGGTCCTTTGAAAGTCATTAGGTATTTGATGAGACAAATTCATGAGTCGCTGAGATAATCGACATAAATTTTGTCTCGATAGTTTTGTTGGACTCGCCAACCAATAATCATTTAAAAGTTTCTTCATCACTCCTAAAAAGCCCAAGTGCATAAAATCTAAAACGAAATCATTGACCATATCTATGGGTGGATTTATTTGTGTAAGAGGCGATACACCCAGATGATGTTCCTTGTGAACTAAGCCTCTGAATGTTTCGTTGGTTCTTTTTTCTTCATAAATGTGTTGAAAAATGACTGTATTATCTGGTTTATCTCCTTTTATATTACAGCGTTCGCATCCATAATATCCATTGTGAGCTTTGATACATTTTAAAAGCGATCGTGCTGGGCGATCGCAAATAAAACACATTACTTCTATTTCAAACTTTATATTGTCAATATAAACGCCATTTTTAAGTAAATCATTTAGCTCGTCAATTAAATCCGTCAAAAAACAATCTACTGGTTTGGGTTTACCCTTACCACAATAAATAGCAACTGTGAATGGTGCATAATTCCAATCGTTGCAATGAATTTTTGATAAAATTGGCCAAAATTCAACGGAGCTTGATTTGAATAATGGTAAGCCATCAGCATTAAATTGAAGCCTTAACATTTTATTAGAATGAAAAGATGTGCGAACACGTCTTTTCAATTGTGAAGCAACGCCGAAATATACAAATTCAGC